ACTGTATGTGCAGTGCCTAAAATGGCCATTTTTATAGGCCAAGGTGAATGGAAGAGTGGGTGGGTTGTGGGGGGTGGGAGTGGGGAGCCTAGCGGGAGCGTGTCACTGTGATCACAGAGTCAGTGGGTCGCAGACCCGCCCGAGCAGAGCCATCTCTGTGCAGGCTGCTTGCTCAGTGAGCTCGTTGGCCCTCGCTCACGGCACTCTCCCCCCAGGGACAAGGCCGTTGCACTCCCAGTGTGGAGTGCCGCTCTGCTGGGCTTGCCTTTACTGCCGCAGAAATACTGCCCCAGGATTGCGAGGACCCGCCTCAGCCTGCCCTGGGATGGGCGGACTTCACGTAACGTGTTTCTGCAACTGGAGCCATCAGGGACTGGCCCGCAGAGCTGCGTCTTAACGTAGCTGACCCCCACGTCGGGTGTGTGCATGCGTGTATGTGTGTGTGTTGCACGTGTGTTCAGCCAGTGCAGCATGCGGAAGGAGTATTACCTTCCCTCTGTCCCTGGAGAGGCTTGGTTTATATAATCTACTTGTCTCCCAGGCCCATTTAGTGAACAAAAGTGGTCAGAGGTTGGCGGGGAGGGGAAGACTGCAGCCAGGTCTCAGAGGGACGGGAAGAAGGGTTCTGAGCAGAAAAGTGGATGAAGACCAGGCATCGCCGGGGGTGGTCCAGCATAGTGCTAGGTGAGGGAAGACTGAGGAGACCGGCCAGGCAGCTGGTAAACCAGAAGGCCGGTGCTCTCATTTATGGAGTTGGGGGCGCCCTCCCACCTGGATCGACGTCACCTGGACTGACATCCGTAGGGGCCTCTTTCAAAGCATGGAGTGGAAGAATTTGTTAAGCAAAGAATTACAGCGAAGGCCACTCTCTGCTCTTAGAGGGTAATCCCAACAAGCCTGATAAATTTCTCATTCTCCACTCGAGGGATAGATTCTAAAAAGCAGGGAGGGATCTCTGGTGTAAAGCCAAAGCCCCATCTCCCCTGGCCAGGCCTGGAGATACCAGTGCACGCTCCTTTCCGGATTCTCATTAGTCACACTGGTCGTTGGGTGCCTCTTGCCTAGGATGTGCTGCCTTTTGCCACCCTGGCTTATGTAAAATGTTTTAAGGCTGCTGCTTCCTGGAGAGTGATTGAGTGAGAAAGGAACACTTTCCATTGAGGCTGGATCTTCTTTCTTCTTTCTTTTAACCCTTGGGGTCCCCTCTACCTGGAATACACTGCCCCCGGATTTTCTTCCCACCTTTTTAAATTGAGACGTGGTTCACGTTACCATGAAACTCACCCTTTGAAGGCATATGGTTAGTTGTTTTTTAATATATTCATGAGGTCGTGCAACCATCTAATTCCAGAATATTTCCCTCACCCAAAAAGAAACCCAGTACTCATTATCAGTCACCCCCCACTTCCTCCCTCTCCCCAGCCCCTGGCCACCACTCATCTGCTTTCTGTCTGCAGATGTGCCTATTCTGGACATTTTGTAAAGATGAGATTGTACAGTGCGTAGTCTTCGGTGACTAGCTTCTTTGCCGGAGTGCAATGATTCTAAGGTTCACCCACATCATCACATGTATCAGAACTTCCTTCCTTTTAGGGATACCTGGTGGCTCCACTGGTTAAGCGGCCGACTCTTGGTTTCAGCTCAGGCTGTGATCTCAGGGTCATGGGATCGAACCCCACATCAGGCTCTATGCTCAGCAGGTCTCTGCTTGAGGATTCTCTCTCTCCGTTTCCCACCAGTCTCTCTCAATCACTCTCTCTCCCTCTCACTCAAATAAATAAATAAATCTTTAAAAAAAAAAAAAAAGGAACTCCTTCCATAGCCATATAATATTCCATTGTATGGACATACCACATTTTGCTTATCCAGCCGTCGGTTAGCAGACCCTCGGGGTGTTTCCAGTCACGGCTGTGGTGAGTGAATGATGTTGACGTGAACATTTGTGTGCAGAGTAAAGAAATTCTGCGAGCCCAGATCAGCAGGCAACTAGCCTGATGGCAGGGGTGTGGCTGAGCACAGATTTCCTCTTTCTCCATCGGCTGGCCTCGTCTTTGCCCCTGTTGACACCCAGTCACCCTCATCTTAGAAGGAGCGCGGGCAGTATCCTGAGTTGTATGTGTCCCTTGGTGTCGACTACCCGCCTGAGAGGCAGAGAGGCTGATTGCAGAAGGCCCTCCAGAGAAGCCAGTGTGAATCCCGTGTCCGTCTCCTGCAGGAGCCCCTGAAAGGCGTGTGTGATGCACTTACTCATTCATTCACCCAGATGCCTACAGCCTGGGGCTCCAAGTGGTCTTGAGGGTGGGACCCGTCCTCCAGCACCCCAGCCTGGATTGCTCCTGGGGAGGGAGGGCCTCAGAAGTGCAAGACTTTGTCCTTTGTCACTTCTTTAGCTGATTTCTGGCCTCCCCGTGAGGTCTGCCAGCCTCGGGCCAAAGAAGGCGCAGGCCGAACTTCCGCCTTCCTTTCCCAATCCGCAGCTGGGTCACCAGCCCTCTGCTCATCCCTCTGCCTTCCCTAACCTGAGCTCCCCCATCGTCTGGCAAACCACCTCAGTCTGTGCCAGGACTGGGGGCGCCACGAGGAGAGGGACCAGTGCAGCCTGGCCTATTTGGGCCCACCCGGCCCTGAGCTGAGTGTCAGGATGATGGGGAAGATGATGAAGGTGAGGGAGATGGAGAAACCCCCGGAGAGACCTACGGAGGCTTGCTCCATACCAGGCCCTAGGCTACGTTATTTTTACCCTCATCAGCTCAGCTAACCCTCACTGGGACCCGAGGAGGCTGATGCTCTTATGACAGATGTGCAAACCGAGAGCTGTCGAGGGGAGATTAGCTATCGAAGTCACACAATCATCGAAAGGGAGAGCCAGGAGCTGGCTGCTCCCCGTACAGCTGCAGAGCCCATGCTTGGACTACTGTGACCTCGTCTACATGTGCACACATATATATTGATTTGAGGGGGGAGATAGATGGATGGACACTTCATTAGAAGCCCTGAGTGGCCGGCAGGTCCCCTGGGCCACACTGAGTTCAGGGAGAGCTAGGACTGCAACTGCATTGGAGTCCCGAGGGCAGCTGCCTCCTGCTACGGTGTGTGGAAGATGAGGACAGGGTGCAGGGCAGAGCCCCGGACTCTGAAGCCCAGACAAGGGCGGCCGCAAGTCCCAGGCTCGTGGAAGGCCCAGGGCTGCGGACAGCTCCGTCTGCCCGGCCCCGAGGTGAGGTCCCAGTCCAGGCCGCCAGCTTGAAAGGGAGCCTCAGCTTCCTTCCATTGTCTGCATGGGGCACACCCAGTGTGTTCCTGCGGTGACCCGAGGCCCGGAGGGAGGGAAGGGGCCAGCCCAGAGCTGGGTCAGGATGGGAGAGGGGAAATGAGAGGGGAAGACTTGGTGTTTTTCCTTGTTTGTGTTTTGTATTAAAGAAAAGCAAATAATATCCTTTGAGAAAACCATTAAACAAAGCACATCCTAAGGCTGCAGAGGCCCATTGTGGCTGTCTGGAGCCCGGAGTTCATTCATGACTTTTCAGCCAGATTATTGGAGGCAAGGGACAGGGTAGGAGGCAGGGGGTGTTATGACAATGAATGTTGAAATGTGCATTCCCTCCCTGGACTCTGTAGGTTAGGCCATGATGCATGCATAATGCTAGAGTCCCCTGTCCTCCTGAGCCTGTTGCCTGTTGTCCTCCTACTGCCCCACCCTGGGAAGCTCCTTGAGACTGGCCAGAGCTGTCAACATCCAGCCCACCTTGGTTGGTGGCTACGCCCTGAGAAGGCAGCCTGATGGGACCCTCCATGGTGGAGCCTGAAACTAGAGGGCTGGTACCATAGAGGATCTGGGCCTCAGTCTACCCATCTATAAAGTGTGGACGGTTGGGCTAAAGGAATGCTCATTGACCGCTCTGCAGCACACTGGGCCCTGTCACTCCCTCTCACCCTGTGCATGTGAAGGGCCTCGTGGGCCACATGGGGGGTGACACTCCGGGTGTATTCTGCATCAGACCTGTACACAGGTATCCCAAGCCCAAGTCAGACTACCCCCTCCCCCCAGCCCTCCAGGCCCAGGTCCCCTCCACCACCCCCCTGTCCACCCCCACCCCTACAGGTTGCCCATAATGTGATGCCAGTGCTCGCACCCATGTCCCACCATAACACACTTTCCTGCTGGGGGGAGGGCGATGGTTAAGAACAGAGCTGACCATCAGCCCAGCTTCTGCAGATCATTGTGCCTGGGGCCTGGCATTGGCAGAATCAGCCACCTGTTATAAGCAGAGGGTCCATCTCTCACCTTGACATAGGTGTGTAGTTGTTGTACCGATGACAATGTACAAAAGACCATTCTTGGGATTTTCCCCAGTTTAAAGTTTAAAAAAGCATTGAAATATTTCTTGTTTCTCCTAAACAGTCCCCAGGAGTATGAGGAATAAGGGTCTTGGGGTGGATTTGGACGGGCCATCCTGGACCAGGGTGAGGCAGCCAGGGTCCTAGCACACGGCATCTCCGTGACACTCGGGATTTGCAAGGCGCTGCATCTCCTTGGTCCCCTCGACAGCCCAGAGAAGATCCTGACATCCCCAGTGTGTCAGGAAACATAGAGAAGTCATGAGCGTTCAAAGAGTAACTTGTCCTTGGTCATGTGGCCATGAATCCGGGATCTGGCCCCCACTCCGTCACTAATTCTCCACGAGACTTTGAGCGGGTTCATTCATCCCTCTGGCCTGAGCGTTGTCATCTGGAATTTGCGTGACTGGATATAACACATTCTGAGGTCCCCTCTGTGTCCCTACTGTTCTTCAGTCCTGTAATTCCAGCATCGTTGCCTGGTGGGAAATTGACTAATACAGTTTCCATTTTTCAGTCTGGATTTGGCGGTGAGAGTCTAGTCTTTTCAAACTCCTGATTTCCTTTTGGTCATAGACGTTATCATCCATAGTTACATTTAAGAAGGTCTTTGCTCTCTTTCACAAGTTACTCACCATCCCCCTTCTTCCCACACCACACAGGGCTACCACCCGATGCCCCACGAAGTGGAGATCGCCCACACGAAGAAGTTGTTCCGACGGAGGAGAAATGACCGGAGGTAGGAGAGACTCCGTCGAGAGCTTTGGGTTTTCTGTCCTTGGCCGGCTGTTTCTAGCTCCGTTGGTTCTGACCTGGGTTTTGCTTTTCCCGGGGACCCGCTGATACCCATGAGATGAAGCGATGGGGTCAGGTACCAGTTGGGAAGCGGGAGCCCCACTTCTCGGGGCTGGCCCAGGAAACAGATCCCTCCAGGAGGCCAGGGACAGGGTGCTGGTTCCACAGCTCAGGAAGAGAAAGGCTCTTTCCATTTGCAGCAAGGACAGTAGTCCTCAAGGGACTTGGTCCCAGCTGACGTGTGTTTTGAGACACGGCCTCCAGGAGGCTCCGAAGCTCACGATTCCAAGGGTATCTGTGTCTCCTGCTCTTCCTTAGTCACTGCAGGTCGTCGCTGGCTGTGCTCAGCTCTGTGGTGACAGGCGACCCGCAGATCAGCAGCCACGCGCGCACCTGATCTCCAGTGCCTGGAGGAGCTAACTTAAACCTGGGCAGAACCCAGGGTCTCCCCATGGTTCGGCGTGCTGGGTAATAGCAAGGGTCCGGAAAAAGTACCCCGAGGCAGTTGGGGCTCAGAGTCCCAGGAAGACCTGGGGGGACTTTCTTGAATGGAAAAGTCTTCGTGGTAGATTTCAAGTGGAAAACACCAGGTACAGAGCGACGTTTGTAGTCTATGGACATTCGTAGTAAAGCAAGGTTAGAGTGTATTTTCTGTTTGGATATGCATCAATTATTTCTGGTTGGAAACATTTTTAAAAAAGGAAGGAAGGGAAGACGCCTGGGTGGCTCAGTTGGTTGGACGACTGCCTTCAGCTCAGGTCATGATCCTGGAGTCCCGGGATCGAGTCCCGCATCGGGCTCCCGGCTCCACGGGGAGTCTGCTTCTCTCTCTGACCTTCTCCTCACTCATACTCTCTCTCACTGTCTCTCTCTCAAATAAATAAATAAAAATCTTTATGGGCGCCTGGGTGGCTCAGTGGGTTAGGCCGCTGCCTTTGGCTCAGGTCATGATCTTGGGTTCCTGGGATCGAGTCCCGCATCGGGCTCTCTGCTCAGCGGGGAGCCTGCTTCCCTCTCTCTCTCTCTGCCTGCCTCTCCGTCTACTTGTGATCTCTCTCTGTCAAATAAATAAATAAAATCTTTAAAAAAAAAAAAAAAAAGGAAGGAAGGGAAAGAGCAGGAAAGAGAAAAAAGGCTTCTGCCCAGGGAATTAAAATGAGACGTGTGCCTCTATAGGGAATCTCTTCTTGGATCAAAGGGATGGCCTGTGGTTTTACCTTTAACGAACAGAATATTCTTAGAGAACCAAGGGAGCAGTCTAGGTGACATCCCTTCCTTGGAAAGTGGAGGTGCCTGCCCCCTTGAAATGAGGGCCGTGGCTGACTAGGGTCCCTGGGCCTCCGCTCCACACAGGGGCCCTGAACAAGGTACGTTGGGTGCTGGCCACAGCTCAGGACGCCTGGAGGACAGGTCCCCAGGACTCCTTGTCATCAGCTGGTGGACTTAGCGGGTCAGAGGCGCTCCCAGGAGACAGGAACCACACCACTAACTAGGAGGAAGGCCATCCTGGCTTAGGAATCAGAACCTAGGCACGTTATAGAGCAGCAGGGAAAGGGGAAACTGAGCCAGGAGCATTGGACCAAGCCCTGGGCCAGGCTTGACCAGAATGATTGCTGTGTGGACCGCCTAAGTGCTGTGCTGCTTTGCCAAGGCTAATGCCTCGTTTCTGGGCTCCTAGAGGAGGGAAGAAGTAGGGAGCACATCTCTAAAAGGGGAATGGGGCTCTCGGGCGACTGGGGAAGAGGGAGAGCAGAGGCTGGGTGTCCCTCCTACCCTGCCCCCTACCCTGGTCCTGAGTCTGTGTCTGGAGGTGCGGGGAGTTCCCGAGCTTTGAATGTACAGTCACCCCCTGACCCAGAAGCAGCGGCAGGCTGCTGCTCTCCTTCCAGGTCAGCTACACCTTGGCTCGTGGACCTGGCCGCCTGTCTAAGCGGGACCGCCCCCCGCCACCCCGGGACAGTGGTGGGCCTCCGGAAAGCAGCCACTGCCCCAGGAATATAGGAAGAGGGGTGTGACACGCACGCATGGGGAAGCTGACCTTCCGCCAGGCCACGCTCGTGTTAACGAATGCCCGGTTAGGTCAGCGCACCTCGCAGAGGATGTGGACCCGGGACAGGGTCCAAAGCGAGGCAATAAAGATGATTAAAGGGATGGAAAGTATGTCCCGGGAGGAGAGGCTAACGGGACGGGGCCAGGGAAGAGGAGGCTGCAGGGAAAGAACGGTCACGCCAATAAACTCATGAAAGATTTACACGGAGGCTAAGAGAAGCTGCGTCGCATTCAGAGGGACCCAAACCAGGGGCAGCTAGCTGGTAATGGAAGAAGACGGTGTTCAGCTAGACCCAAGATGGGCTCGGGGAAGAAACGTCTTGGTCGCTAAAGCTGGGCTGTGTGGTGCCTCGTAGCCTGGAGCAGGAAATCTGCTTCGTATCCCCGCTCCGGCGGGAGGCCAGGCTGGGCGTGCCCTTGCTGCTTTTCGTTCCAATTGTTGAAGTCAGAGACGCATTCCCTGGAATTAGACCCTGGATGTGAATTCGGCCTCCGCCATTCACTAACTCTGTGACCTGGGCAACTTGCTGCGTGCCCCTATTTCCTCTTCTGTAAAGTGGGTCTAGGAAGTGGGAGGCTTGAACAATCAAATCCTTCTAAGGCCCCTAGAAATGGGCTTAGCGCTGGCCCATTCTTGAGTCCAAGGTACACAGAAAGCATCGAAAGGTGAGGGGTGAGGAGATGGCTGCAGAGGGGCTGGGCTGTCCCCTGTGATCTCACTTAGGAGCCCAGGGAGCTTTGCCCTGCATTCCCTCCAGGGTCCACCACCCAGGCAGACAAGGCAGGAGGGCCCCTCTGCTCCCACACTCCCAGGGGCTGCTCCCAGGGGCCCTGTGATTAAAGTTGAACTGTGAATGTCTTCTCCTTGTTTTGCAGAAAAAGTTTAAGCTCCTGAACAGTTCCTAGGTTGTTGTTCTGAAAAATGTTCTGAAAACTTTTAAACAACTAGTAACCACCTCTTTCTTTTGGGAAATGACTCAAAGATATTTGCTGATTTCAGGCAAAACGATGCATTTCGTGATAGCAAAGTACTAAGTGAATATTTCAGGTACTCCTCAGAGAGCAGCGGCCCCTGGTGCTCGGTCCCTGGAGCCCTGCCGGCTGGAGGGGGCCCTCCGGAGGTTCCCCTCCCGCCCCAGTCTACCCACCCAGCAGGTGCAGAGGAGAGGGCTCCCAGAGGGCAGAGTCATGGCCATGCTGCTGACCCACTGCCTGTGTTGACCTTGAGTGAGTGCTCCCCCGCTGGGCCGAGACATTCTCTCCACCCCTCCCCACCCCGCTCCATTTTGCAGAGTGAGCAAATTGATGCAACCAACAGCTGGCAGTGTCTGTGTTCCCTGGGAAGCTGACTGTGGGTTGGAGAGGAGCGGGCAGGGCCCTTACTGAGGCACATCCTTTGGAGCAATAGCGGTAGACGGGAAGGGAAAGGAGCAGGGTAGGGCAGAGGGAGAAGCTGGGCTGCAGGGCAGTCTGGCTGGGGAGTTCTGACCCTACAGGGAGGTGACTTCAGAGCTGTCCCATGATGGAGTAAAGGAGCAGGTCTTTATATCCCCACTGCCACAACCTTATGCCAGCAACTGTCATCACCCAAGGCAGTTTCCATAGGGGCTGAGAGCTGGGGGGGGGCGGTGTCTGCCCCAGCACGTGCAGCAGCTGGTGCAGGGAGGAGTGCACAATTCCTGAAAGGGAGACTGGGTGGTCCCTTATAACGAACACCCCAGTGGGAGCAGTACTTAACTCTCCTGGGATTGATGGACTGGTGCTCCGTACTACATTCTGGGCTCTGGAGCAGAGCAGAGAAGTGCCAGGCTTGGTCCCTGCTCTCTGGGGCCAGAGGTGTAGCTTGCACAACCTCTCTGGCTCCCGAAGCCACCAGAATCTGGTGTGTGACTGTGCAGCATCTGAGCGTTCAGAGAAAGGAGCCAGCAGGGGATGGTTGAGGAAGGCTTCCTAGAGGAGGTGGGCTTTGTACTAACCATGAGAGAGGATTTGGAAGGGGGTTGGGAGGAGCGTGAAAGTTGCCACAGCTGGATAGGTGTGGGAACCAGGGATTCCTACCACCCCCTAGAAGTCACCCCCCAAATCTCCCTAGGCACAGCCCTAGGAGGGTGGAACTCGCTACTGCCACCACCCCAGCTGAACTAAGTGGAAGGGAAAAGCCAGAGTTCCTGATTCCTGGTGGGCCCCGGCCCAGGGTGATACAAGCCCCTGTCAACCCTCTGGAGCCCAGCCTCCTAACAGAGCAGGGCAGCGAACGTAGGCACTACCGTTCCATCCCACACTGCCCTCGCAGCTGGGGACACAGGAGAGCCGTTCTCCAGATTAATCTGTTTCATTAAGTGAGGTCTCAGAACGGTTCATTGGCTGCATGTGCAAAGCAGATTTGGAAGGAAGAAGGAAAGAATGCTGTGGTCATCCAGCTAAGTGTCAGATGGCCCTGCTGGGTGAGGAGCAGGAGAGCGAGCTGTCCCCACACTTCTGCACACCACCCCCTCCCTAGGTCCCCAGGTGGTGCGATCGGACCACATCCTGGACACTGCAGGGTGATTGGAGCCTCCGGCCACTCTTGCTGCCTCTGTCCTATGAATGACCATGACCGTGGCTCGGTGCCCTCTAATTGTGGAACCAATTAAGAATCTCATCCCTCCTTCCCTTCCTCTGCCAGCAGGTGCCCAAACCCTCCCTGGGTGCCAGGCTCTTTCCCTAGGGGCAGAGTGTCAGCCATCAGATTTGATTTTGCAAGCTCTCTGTGACATCATCTGGGTCACTGATATAAATGAACACAACATCTGGAATTAGGGGTGATGGATATGCAACTTGGTAAATAAACTAAAAATCCTGAATTATGTCATTTAAGAGGGTAGATTCTGTTGTATGATTTACATATCAATTAAA